CTCGGTGCAGCCGTTCTTGTAGCCACGATGAATGACTAATGGAAAAATGCGGACGCAGTCGGCTACTCTTGCTTTGCTTTGGCTCCTGACAGCTAGGCTTCGCGCCGGCATCGCCTCGCCGAGCTCGACGCGAAGGGAACCTGCAACATATTAGAAAAGCATGCTCCCCACAAGCCCCACCTTTCGAAGCCGACGAAAGCATGTGCAGCCTTGTTTACTGTGGGTAGCTGAGGTTCCGTCGCACGGCGAACTGGTTCATGGGGGCCTTGACCTTCAAAAGCGCTTTGCGACGTCGAGAACATGTCTTTGTTGAGTCCACACATTTCTCGTGATTTTCTTCTGGGCAAAGCTGTGTTGATGTTCCGGCCTCCTCGACTAGTACACCACTCTGCTCCGAAGCTGCAAGCTGCTCAAAGTCTAAGTCGGGCAGCACCTTTGCACCAAGGCCCAAGGCAAGAAAACAAGTGCTTTGTGATGTCCAAGGCCCAAGGCAAGAAAACAAGTGCTTTGTGATGTTTTGCCATGCTGCATGTTGTCAGAGGATTTGCTGAGGAATCGTTTGAGCTGACATCGCACAGCCCTTCGAGAGGTCGGCGAAGGCCACCACTGTGCTGGAGCTTATGCCAGTGCCCTGCGCGAATTCGTGGAGTGCTCACACAAATGAAAAGGCTCCACTGAAACTCCAAACTGAAACTCCAAAGTGCAAAAACCAACGGTCAACATCGGTTGACCCGTAAACCGTCCTGAGCCCTACAAACCCGAGCCCAATGGCCAAATTTTCCCTGAACTATGCATCTCCCAAGCCCGCAAAATCCTACCATTCGAAGAGCAGCGCCTTAAGTGGCCGAGGTGGCACCGCCGTCACCTCGAAGGCCTGCTGGAACTCGGCAAATGGCGAGACAGCTTAAGATTTGCTGATCCACGACTGGTAATTGAGGTTAAGACAGTTTGGCTTTATAGGTTCTGCAGAGACTGCAGAGCCCATATTTGCATTGCGCTTGGGGCTTAGGGCCAGGATAGGTTCGGGTTTGTTTGGGGGCTCTACGAAGAGTACAGTGCTTCCATCTTCGCTTCGTTGCAGCCTCGCCTCTGGAGCTTAAGTTTTGCGAGAACTTTGCTGGCAAAGCACTCCGAAGCTGGCCTTGATTTCGGTGGTGCTCGCTGCCGGCGCCGAACACCCAAACTGCGTGTCGGAGAGTGCCAAACGTGCACCCGGAGAGTGACAAATATGCAAACATGCAAAGCTGCAGCAAGTGCCTCAACGGGCCGCAAGCTCCGCACCTGTACCGGAAGCTCGTCAAGTGGTGTGTACCTGTCAGCCAAGGCAACTCGACGAGCTGTAACCTTGAAGGCGATTTTTTGCGTGCGAACAAACTTCTTCTCACTTTCGATAACAGAAGCAGGAGCACAGCCCAGAGGCGGTAAACATGACTTCAAAAGCTTGAATCCGTGAAAACGACGTTGCCACCATCCAACACCAAAGCTCAAACTCCAAATACTCCAACACCTGGGCATCGGCCCATCTACGGTTTGGGCGAAGCACCACGTACCCACGGAGGGCCGCAGCTGCCAATCTGACGCTGGAGCCACTTGAGCGGCTGCCTCCCAAAAACAGAATAACATCTCTTGATTTTCGCACTACTTTCGCGCGTGCACATTCACACAATCGCAAAGCCACCAGGGCAGCACATAGGTGTTACAGACATGAACTGCATCTGCAGCACATCTGAGACAATGAAGCAAAACCTGCAAATGCAACACATCTGTGATTGCAGCGAGCATGTGGTTGAAACAAATCTGGGTCGTAACTGATGCTAAAGTAAGATGAATGTTGCATCACTCGTTCTTGCCGTTCAACATGATCGGTGCAAGCTTCCCTCTCTGGTACTCAGGTTCGTGGACAAGGTTTGTACCCGAGAGCGCTGGCAATCTGTCAACCCGCTGATGAACCCTACACCAGCCTGCTCCACAGCCTCCAGCTTGGGCGACCTAACATCCGCCTGCACTTCCAGGTTGCCGCGAAGTATGCTGTAGCTTAAGATTTCAGGCGGACGTCATCCTGCATCATCCTCATGGCTTCCAGTTCTCAAACAAAAAAACCATGCTGGATCCCAAAGGAGGCGCTCTTCCAATGTGGAGGGAAGCAAGGCTTCACACTGAAACATGTGAGAAGCTCGAACGTCGATCCGCCTCTTCTGCCTTCGGAGACGGTCTCAGCGGTGCATACCTTCGGCTGAGGCTGCCGACCCCCAGCTGGCAACACTACGGCAATGGTTGACCCGCTGGCCCCAGCCCCAGAAGCGCGCAAAGAAACCGAAGCCACTGACACTTGAACTCATCTTGATCTCATCTTGATCTCATCTTGATCTCATCTTGATCCCATCTTGGACCACTTGAATCTCTCCCAAGCCGAAAGCTGGCGTTACGTTCGTTCAAAGGTGCCAGGTTCCAACGGAGGCCAGCAGGTGCCAAGGTTGGACCGAGAATGCCTTGCAGCATCTTGCAGCTCACCGAGGTTTAGCTTAAAGATGTTTAAAGCCTTCAAGAGCGCTTCATGACTGCTACACTCTTACTGTTGCTCGAGCTGCTGATACATTGCCCATTCACAAGCCGCAGACTGCCTCCGGCTGCTTGGGTCTCTCTCTTTCCTTTGGCAGCTCCCGCACGGGGTGCCTGGTGTCCACCTGACAGCGATGCCACACTCATTGCATTCACTGAGTGATGCTCACAACATCTCCAACATCTCCGCAGCTCAAACTGACCGACATGAGCAGCCAACACCCAGCCAAGCACAGACAACTCACAAAAACGAGGTCACGAGGGAAAGATGCTGTGGCCTCTGTGGCTGCAGCACTAAACATCGGCGAGGTGCCTGGCATTCCATGTGGCATGCGTCCCCGTGTCCAATAGCTGATTCCAAGAAGGGAATTAAGGACATTCCAAGGATATCGTTCTTGAGGAACGATGTCCTTGGTCTTGTTACTCCCGTCTTGACGATGTGAATCAATACCGAGCAGGACGTACCGAGCGACACCGTTCTGGCTGGTGATGTGCTGGCCTGCAGAGACTGGGCTGTCAATTGTACCCAACACATTTACGAAGATTTGGGAAAACGTTGGTAGCCGGATATTTGGAGAACGGGAGATACGTGAGGGTTTGCGGCTTAAAGCTTATGCTCGCCTCAGTTCATCTGATCTGGGTGCCGAGCTGCAGCCACGAGATCCTCCACAAACTGTCCCGCGACAGCTCGCTCATGCTCCACCTCTCACTGGGCTGTGCCATCCAGTGCCAGAGACTGCTGCACTAGAGGATGGCCTCTTCCCCTCGAGTGGAAAGAAGTGGCTCATCCTGCTGAAGTGTGATAGGATGGTGAAAGCGACATCTCCACCGCTGAGTCTCCTGAGGCTCTGCCTGTGCCGAGCTCTCCTGCACAGATCTGCACAAAGACACCAAAAGCAAAAAAGCAAAAAAAAAAAAAACTACGCCACTCTGAGCTCCCGGTGCTCAGTCTGAGAGGCTGCTCGAAGCACTGACTGCACCTCCGGAGCCTTGACCACGGGCGTGGGAATCATGTACCTAACACAGAGAAAGAGAGAAAGATTCAGAAAGAGGCGCTGAAAGGGCCGCTGAGAAGGTTCCAACAGCGCACATCCCACTTCAAGGTGAATCATCGGCATGGTCAGCTTCAAAAAAAAATCTATGTATCGCATCCGAGAGCTGGGAACATCCTGGGGAGCATCCTGGCCGAAAGAAGACAGGGAAGGGCGCCAGGTCCCAACGGAGGGCATCATGTTCCACTCGGGTTCCTTGACCTCTTCTTTCTCCTGCACAAATGGCAAATCTTCGAAAGCAGAACTCCCTGTAATTTCTGTGCCCACATGCGGAGGGTCCTCTTCCAGCTTCTCCAGGGGTCCTATTATGTGGCAGATGCATTGAAGAGCAACCCTCCAAGGGTGTACTGCGAATGCTAAAAAAGTACGGCTGTAGTTGTTCCTGCCTTCCGGCTTCACGGACCCTGACATGGGTCCACCAGCAGCTGCAGCCTTTGCGGCTAAGTTCGTTGCTCGTCTGCGCTTTTGGGCCACTTCGCGAGCTAATTGCGTCACCCAAGTTTTCACTTCCCCAAAACCCGCTTTTGTCCTTACAGTCCTGCGAGCCAAGATGCCTCTGGCAGCAGGTCTGCAATCGCACCTTGGAGTCAGCATGACATGGGTGGGAGTTGAATATTTTCCCCACAGTGATGCCCCTACCACACCTCGAAGGCAATTTGAACGTCTAGGTATTGACCCGCATTTGTGTCTCATGCGTCTCGGATTCCCTCAACCGTTAGCGGTTAACTTTAGCTTGGGTCCTAGAGCACAAAAGTTATCATGAACCAAGCCAAACACAAAGACCTAACGCACCTCAGTCATCCTCGAACTGAGGATCCGAACCCCAGGGATCTGCCGGCCGGTCCTGTGAAGGACTTTTTTGGGGGAGTCCTACCTTTCGAGCACTGACCGCCCAGCATGTAACAAGAATCAACGGGCGCAAGGCTCCTGCACCAGCGTGCGAAGCACTCGCTCCACGAAGCTGAGGATGTTGTGGTCATCAAGATAAGATCTTGCCTGGAGGGGAGGTGTGACTTATCTGTGATTTCGCGCAGCACCAAAGTAAGTCCGTTCAAGGAAAGTTGGTGCTGTTTAGGGCACTTTACTTGATTTGCGGGCGGAGTGATGTCCACGACTGCCACGTAAGCGCACAAACCGATTCTGCGTCGACCCATCCGGCAACGATTGTGGTGAAACCGATTCAGAGTCTCCAGCAGCTTAAAAACAGGGCAATGAGTGGCAATAAATGCCAGTGACTTCCATGATCTGTTCAGACTTCACGAAGGCTTGGCACTGGAGGAAGCTCAGTGGACACGTCGCCATCGCAAGGCCACCATGCACTGGGTTCGGCCACTACATCCGTACATCCCCGGCTCCGCGAATGCAAAGACAAACTCGAAGTCGTAGCCCTCACCATGGCCACCAACTTGGCAAGCTCCTTGCTGTGGCAAACCAAAGCAGCTCTCTAAAACTCATCCACCTTCATCTCCATTCTCCCTTCCCCCCCCCCCTTTTGCATCTGTCCTCTTCCCCGAGTCAGCAGAAGCCTGCGATGCTCTGAGACTTCTGAGGGAATCTGAGATCTCAACTCCTGCGCCTCCCAGTCGCTGGAAGAGAAGCCAACACCCCTTAGAGCTGTTCTAGTATCCATCGGCACACACTTTAGCCTTCCAGCGGCTTCTGCCTATCCTGGTAATTTGCACCTCTGAGACCCAGGCGTCCGGTCCACGGCGCGCAGCCTGGGCGATTCCCAGGAGATGGCTTCAAATACGGATTTGTACGATAATTCTGCATTCTCCGGGTTTTTTCAGGGTGTCCAGATGATTGATGGGGTTCCATGATCCCACGTCGGCCCTTTCGTCACGATGCATCTGCTGTCCTTGAGGTGGTTACAGGGCACTGAAGGAAAGCCGACAAAATATCATGCGATAATGATTTCAGAGGCAAGTTGAAAGGACCTAGGGGCATCTAGGTTCTGAATTCCGGGCTTGGCTGCATGGGGCAATGTAGGGAAGTGCGTGTGAGCCCACGCAGATAACGTGTTTTGCTCACGCTTGGGCTGGATCGAGATCATGAGGTTATTCCAAAGCAAACCGAAAACTTAAACCTTCCACGCATCACATCGCCCATTACTTGTAGTTGCAACTCTACGATGCCCCACATCGCAAGATGCCCATCAGTCCCCTTCTGCGTTCACTCCTCAGGCCCGGATCCTGAGTGCACCCTGCAGCAGCTCGTCGACTGGTACTGGGGGGTAATGCCTGGAATTGAAGATGTTGCAAAGCTTTGCTGCAAAGCCTATCCAAAACTGGTAGGGCACTGCTGCCAGTAGGTCCAGCACTGGAGCATGCGCATGCAGTCTGTAAAGTCGCCGGCCAGAAGCACCTCTGCATGGAACGAACATCTGTACATATATATATATATATATAATAGGGTCACCATCTTTGAACGTGCGGATCTAAAAATACCTCAACAGTCAAATTTTACGGATTCAAACGTACCTTTATGCTTCCGTGGCTTCACTCATTTTAAAAGTGTCACCGTATGCTCACCCGCAGATGGACCCACAGCGGGTTGTTGCCGACTGCTGACCAGACCTAGAGAAAAACGCCCAGAAATCATCTTTTGCGGGGAATAACCAAAAAACAAAAACAAAAAAATCATTTCCAAAGCTATGGGGCTGCAGCCTCCAAAAGATGGATGTTCGGATTTCTCGAAAAAGAAAGTTGTTTTGTCGACTGATGGTTGCACGAGAACCACTGCAATCAGGATCGTCTGGAGAAGAAGATGGGTTTTGCATGATCTGAAAAACCATCGTTCTCTCGAGAAAAAGGATGTATTTTTCCGATCGAAGGTTTCTCAAGAACCCAAAAGATGTTTTCTTGGTTATTCGTGACAATAAACGTTATGGTTTCTGGACGTTGGTCTCTTGGTCACAGTCGGCAACAGACCACGGTTCGTCTTGGGCATTGGAAAGCCTTCGTAACACATGCCGTCACAGACGCTTGGACCTCTCCTTGACGCGAAACTTATAAGGACTCCCGAAACACTAATACCCTAGACCGCCTAGACCCTCTACCCGAGACCCTCAACGACCCTAAACACTGAAGTTTAAACTGTAAACCTGAAATCATAGGAAGCAAATAGTAATAACGCGGTAGTAGTTGGTAGATGAACGGTTCATGCCAATGGCATTGCTCTTCGTTGTTTTTCAAGTGCAGCGAAGGTTTTCTTTCTTTCATGGGTTCCCCATCGCCTAGGTCGCGTGCAACTTTCAGACTCGGAATGTTCCGAGCGCCCCATTCGCAAACACACTGCTCGCTTGATTTGGGCGCAATTGCAAACACAATGTTCCCATGATGGGTTTGGACAGGATTCATATACTTTTGAAGCAACCTCTTAGGGTTCAATGTATGCCTGAAGCAAGTTTGCCCGGATCACATGCGGGGGGTTGGGGGGGGGGAGGGGGGGCAGTAAAGTTTGAGGGAGGCGAGGGGTGAGGCATGCCGTGTATATATATATATATACATATATAATACATATATATGTACATATATTACAAACAACGCGAGGAGTGGACAAGCAGTTAGTGGCGAAACAAGGAACCGCCAAATCAGCAAAGCGGGAGTGGGCATGAGAGACTACAAGCGGAAAAGCGGCGAAGCAGAGAAGCAGGGTAAGCTGAGACCAGAGGGCGGGACAGCAAGGCAAAAAGCAAAAGCGAAAAGCAAAAGCAACAAAAGCACAGACCACAGACTGGAAGCAAAGATCAGAAAGCAACAAAAGAAAACATAAAAAGTACAAGAACCAAAAAAGCGGAGAGCAGAGCTCTCGAAAGAAAAAACAGCCAAAGCGAACAAACAAAAACAAAACAGAAGAACTAAAAACGAAAAACACGGAAACATAAAAGCCAAGAGCAACAAAAGCAAAACAAGAGACAGTCAAAGAGCTAAACGCAAAACATGGCAAACGCAGAAATCAAGCAAAGCAACTATAAAAAAAACCAAACAACATCAAACAACAATACGCACTGGTCGCCTCTCGGATGCCTATGACCATCGCGACGCAGAGGTAACCTAACTGCTCAGTGCAAACGGCAGCAAGTTGCAGCAAATTGCAGCAAATTGCCTCCAGTGCCTTAAAAACGGCAAAAACACCATCAGAAAAACGGAAGTGCTTGGGCTATCTTGGGCCCAGGCAGAGGAGCGGGTGTGGCCGAGCCAAGTCACCTCGCAGTGCGCTTTCGGCTGCACACATTGGAAGGACCCACAAAACCTAAACCAAACAACCAAACCTAACCTAACGAAACTTGGAGAGATGCGGGAACGGGCCTCGAAGCCTGGAGAAACTAGAGTGGTCTGGGAAGTTCTGGAGCGGTGGAACATCTCGCGATTCACCTATGTTAAGTACAACGACTTGGCTACGATCACCCCAAATGCCTGTTCCAATGCCCTGTGGGGAAGGGGTTGCCATGGGCCTGAAGGTTGCCACAGGCAGTTGCTGCGCGGGGAGTGGGAATGAAGCCGAATACTTCTATCATCTCGGACGGCATGAATGCTTGGGCGCCCAAGCCCATCTGAGTTGTGAGTGTTTTGCTTGTTGACTTCCTCTTTTGGAATACCGGGACAACATCCAGCATACTGGTGGCCATCAGAGAGGTAGTATGGCATGGCGGGTGGGAATCTGCCTGTAGTCAATTGGACGCCAGGATCGCGATTGTCGCACCACATGTTCGACATGTGTGTCGTTGACGTTGTCAACAGCAAGCGCCCAGTTTCTGGCGCTAAACCCTTGTACCCGTTTTCCAGTCTGACTTGTGCATGCGAGTAGGGCAGGAGGGGGCCGGGTGCTCGGGAAGCCGTTTTCTTGGTCGATGCGGGATGCCGGTATCGACAAGCTGTGCCACTGTTTTCGTGGACTCAGGCTTGAAGCTGCTGTCTTGCTGTGATCTGTTCCCCTTCTGATTGCCGATCGGTGTATTTTGCGCTCGCGACTCTTGGAGTACGGTTCTTCCCTCTCTCATTTGTTATCATTAATATGTGTTTTTGCCGGTCTGAGGGGTTTTCCCTGCAGGGCCCAGACTGCTCCCGCTTGTGCTAAGCATATGCACGTACGTGCACGCCTAGGCCCTGTTGAACTCGATCTTGCAACGGGAAGTACAAAAGATCGAGTGCAGGGACCCCCTGCTGTAGCAGCGGCCACACCACTTCGGGTTCATACTTGATTTGCCTGTTGGCCCATTCCATAATTCCACGAACTAGAAGCCAATAGCCTGCAGCTGTGCACAAGTAGCATTTTTTGACTTTAACGTATTCTGACTTTTCCGATCCTGCTTTCTTGATCTCCACAGCACCCAATGGCATCTCTGGGGGCCAAGGCTGAGCAGAGAGTCCCAGAGCCGAAGGACATCTGCCATGTCCAGCTCCTGCAACAGAGTTCAATGCCCTCAGCCACGCAACATACCTGGTGGTCTTGTAGAAACTGAATCGGAATGGATGCTACATGCTCCCATGGTTATGAAGTGCTGAAAGTGAGCGAACTGCTAACACGAACACCAGTGCCATGGCCATGTGCTCTGGCTGTAGCTATCGTCTTTTTTAGGGTCCTGGGTCAGCATCAGCGTCAGCCACCTGGCCATGTTCACATGGCTTCTGCCGGAATTCAAGTGCTGCATTGTTTGCTGGTTCTTTACGATATAGCGGTGACTGAGGCCCCTGGCGGAACCGTGTAGTACACAGGTGACACTCGCAGCTCCTCCAGATGTCCCCAGACCTCTGACTCTGAAACACGACACGCCCAGACGCTTGCACAGAATGCACAGACATGCGGCCGGCATCTGTCAGGTAACGAAGGCCTCTGGCCTCTTGATCCTTCTCCTTGAGCAACGCATTGAATTGGTCAATTCGGCCCATCATGCCGCCCTCCTCGTTGTCCATGGTCTTGACGAAGGCGTCTCGCATGTCAGACATCAGCAAGCTGAAGCAAAAAAACGTGTCCGCCTCGGGGAGAAGGTAAATTGCAAAGGCGAAACATGCAATGACCTTCAAAGGCAAAGCAAAGAAACGGAGTCCAATTTATGCCAAGTCTCCTCTGCATGCTGGAAGTTCAAGGGATCTTGCGCGAATAAGTAGTACAGTGGTGCACACAGCTCATTCATGCCCTGTACATATCGAACACCACGGTTCAGCTTGGCATAAAGGAGCAGTATCCGCGCCAGGACGTCGTAGTGGCTCTTGGGGCTCACAACGTCGATGCACTCTGGATCTCTGCTTGTGACGGCCAACGTCACCTCAGAGGGGTCGAATCGTTGTCGACCGTCCTTCAGTTGCCAAAAGTTGCCATGCTTTCCCTCACAGTTGGGCAAACATAGGCAAAACAAGACATCGAGCCATGAGGCAACAGCTGCACATAGCACTAGCACCTCTTTGGGACATTTACTGGACATTTTGGGAGACTGGTGTCCTCAACATTGTCTGGATCTTTGCCAAAAGATTCAGAGCCGGCTGGTAGCGTGCGGCAAAAGAAGTCCATCTCCGGCCTCTGCTCAGTCAAGACGTGCAAGGGTTCGAAGAACTCGCCAGGCATAGTCGCATCACGTTATGTCGGTGTTACACCGGTATAGATTCACAAACCGTCCATCCTTATTTACTGCAGCCAGTACACAGGCTTGGGCCACCATGTGTCTCTACTCGGGTTGAAGGGCAACTGTTTAACTGTTTCGCAAGGTGGGCCTGGTGCGCAGGACATCTTTCCGTATCTGCTCGAGCACCTCAGGGGGTCCGGAACTCTGGTTAAATGCTTCCGCGACATTCTTCCGGCTTTCAGTTGTGAACTTGCGCAATAACCGCCGTGACCTCGGAAAGCGGGACTACGTGGTCCTCGTCATCGGGCCAGCCGGGGGGTCGCTCCTCAGTGGGACAGCAAGAATGGGGATAATGGAGACATATTTGGATAACCAAAGAAGTTGCAGCAAAAGAGCGTCCTGCCAGTGGGTTCCAGTGTCAGTTAGGTTTGTTCGGGGTCACTTGTCCAACTCGAGGGCTTGTTCACATCCTGTAACACTGCTGAAGCACTTCGAGTTGCTCAGCGGGAGCAAAGTTCGCTTGGTGATCTCGAAAAAGCTTGCTACTGTAAGCGGCCCGTTCCTGGATGCTGGCAGGGCTCCCCTACCTGAGCTAGCTCGTGTGGGAGTTCTGCTAGCAGCTCCTCACACAAGCCGAGCTGAGGGAATCAACAGGCACTGGCATGCTGAAGGCCTTCCTCACTAGCATTCACTAGCTGGACCTGGCCTGGAGGAAGGTGGCATAGTCTGCCCTAGCGGAGGCCAGTGCGACATCCCAGCGGAAGGCATCACAAGGCCTCAAGGTACATCAGCTTTGCAAGCGTCACGGGGCAGGTCGTCCTGGTCAGACCTCTGCAAGTGCACTCGTCTCCACCAAGGCGCAGATAGCCCAACAGCAGCTTCCAGAGAGCCGCACGAAGGGCAGGTGCCTTGCACCAAATGAATCAACCCACTTTTCAGTGACTCTGCTTGTCAGCATAGGTTAGGTCAGTCTACCTTGAATGCTTTGAATGCTTGTGCAGGTCGCCTCATCTGGGATGCCATCGGCACATAGCGGTCTGACCACATTCAAGTCTATTTCCAGCACCTTCGGCGAGTCGCCATCGGTGATGCGAGGACAAACAGAGTGCCTCTGCAGGGATTTGCAGTGTGGCGCAAGCGATGCCTGCACCTACATGCATCAGTATCGCGCACATCTACTGCGGCTGCCTCGGAGACTCTACCGTCTCCGAATCTATCCGGCAGTATCAAGCACGCGAGTTCAGGTGTTCGAGCCCTTGCTGTCATGGCCGTCATGGAATCTGCTACAGCTGCACTTAGGTGTGCACTGTAGCTGCAGCTGTCTAACACCACTTCCTGGCCATGCTGCTCGGAGAGAGCAGACATCCAAAAGCAGACAAGAGCCGAGGGGCAGCAGCCGGATCAATCGGGCCGCAAGCTTCTCGCAGTCGGTCTGGAGCGCCTGCAAGGTCAGGAAGAAACTTCGGACTCGGAGGCTGGCAATGCTGGCGTGGGAGTAGATTTGATCATTGAACTCTGCAAAACTGAACTGTCCAAGTTGCCTGCACCTGGACGTGCTGCAGCAATGAGCTGACCGCATGTGGCAGTGTCTGGTTGGCAGCGCGCCGTGGCATGAGCACATTGCGGAGCGGCTGAGAGCGAATCTTCTCAGCTTTTTGCCGAGCACAGGTTCTTCGTTTGGGCTCCTTATGATTGGACTTGGGCATGAGGGGAGAAGCTACCTCGAGATTAGTTAAATACATTGTGAGCTAAACGGCCCCGAACACCTTTGCAGCATGATGTTGTCTGATCGCATGAATGCAGATGATGCAGTTGAATCTTAGATCGTATGGAGAAGCATGGGACGGGAAAGAAGTAAGAGGAAGTAAGGCGGGGGGCCGCAGAGCTGTTTCTGCAAGTTCAAGGCACGCCGGCATCCATAGAGCCAAGCCTTCACCGGTGCTGGATCTCAGATGACTTACACCTGTTTACACTGACTTCGCCATGTTGACACGACTTTTGCACCATGACACAGCCGAGGCCCTTTACCCTAAGGCCCTAACTAGGGACCCCTTGGTCCCCTCCCTTCAAAGGTCTTCGACGGCTCTTCGACGATTCGATGGCGCCTGGAGTGCGGCATGGTGCCGTCTCGAGGACCGCTGCGGGCCTCCGCGGAAAAGTATTCTCATACTCCTAGCAGGTCCCAGCAGCTAGCAGCTGCCGCTAACTACAGCAGAAGATAGCAGAAGATTGTTTTTTCAGCTTCCAGGTTCACTTTGCAGACCATGTGGTCGGAAGCTTGCGACGTGATGGCTTTCGACTGAGGCATGCCCCTCCATGCAGAGCCCTCGGCTCGGATGCGCTTTTGGGCCCACCGCAGGGCCCAGTGTGGCAGCAGTTCGGTCCTGCCGGCATGGGCTACACTTGCAAAATCGAGGTGCTCTCCTCCCCCCCCCCCCTCCCCCTCCCCCCGACTCAAGTCCAGGAGGTTGGACTGCTTCAGAAGATCTGTCGGCATGACGCGCTCCTGGCAGGTGCACTAGAGGCGCCAAAGGACGCTCCAGCAAACGACGACAAAGATACGACCACGAATGTCAAGGGTGCACCTCCAGGTCAGTCCGTGCGGTGTTGACACCTCGGCAGTGTCGAGAGCACATTGAGCACCCTGAAGTGTCTTTCAATCGAAATGCAGGCTTACACTCCCCTACACTCCCCCAAGCCCTGCTCTCAGGATGGCGCTTGAGGCCGCTAAGCGAGCAGTCTCTGCACCGTCCCGCTCCTTGGAGGCAGGCCTGAGAGTACCATCGAGTACCAGGGGTGCCAGTGTTGCAAGGCTTCCTATTTCCAGGTCTAGGAGTGTTGGGCTTGGGGTCCGAATTGGGTCCAGGACAATTTAGGACTCTTCTGTGGTTCATAGGGCGGATTCCGGCGGATTGAAACTCAAGCAAAAAAACGGAGCTCACAGAGCACCAAAACAGCTCAAGGTCCAAGCATGCGGGACTTCTGTGGGTCTGGCTTGATATTGAAGTTCAGCTTCATTGTGAACTCCTGAAGCTCAGCAGAGCATGCAGAGCATGCCTTTAAAGCTTTGAGTGTCAGCGGCGCAGGTTTCACCTCGTCGGCTGCACCCGGCTGCCCAGGAGGGGCAACTATGACCTTTCAAGGCAAACGAGATCAAACGAGGCTTCGCAAGACGAGCCCAGCGAATTCACACCAGGTGCCTCGATTTGATGCCCGGCAGTGGTGCCTCACAAGGCCAGGCTGTGCGTCCAGCGAAATCCTGACCCACTACGCAGCTTCATCCCTCGCCGCCTTCATTTCCGGCTCCAGCACCAAAGGCCTGTCATGGTTTTCAGCTTTTCAGCTTTAGCTTTACAACTTGAAAGCACGCAAAACTGTGGCAGTCGCAGCAGCCGCAGTGCAAATGCTCTAGCAGTCCCGCCTTCTGCAGCCCAGGCAGCAGCTCCGAGCTGGCAACGCCTTAACATCAAGAATTTGGTTACAACATCCCCAACCCCAAAGCAAGGACCCTCGGGGTGGGGGCTCAAAGTATCCCCTTGCCAGCGCTTCTGAAGACCCGTCAGTTTCAATAGCCAAAGAGGCAACCGCTTGGAGCCCAGCACGCGCTACCGTGCACCGAGAGCAAGTCCACCTGGCATCTCCGTGCAGGGATAAGGTTCCGGAAATGAGCTTCCGAGGGGGTCCCACCGAGCTGCATTCTATAGAGCAAGACTACCTGAAAAACCTTCCGGGTAACAATCCTTATCCTGGTGCGTTCGGTGCTTCTTGCTTACCCGCGGGGGCACGGTGGCTCTTGGTGAGCTGTGATTTTGTGGGTACGCTTGTGAAGATGCTTGTGGAGGCCTTGGAGCCATAGCAGCTGCCATATTGGGAAGGTTCCGTGGCTGTTAGACTCCTCGAAACTCCAACCCACTCCCCTCGCCACAGCTTTGTTTGCTGTTTCGCTTCATGTGGCTTCGCTGTTCTTCTCTGTGAGCACACTTCACTAATCGCTTTGATCTTACGGAGCCTTGAGTCCGCGGTCGTGGTTGTGTTTGGGGTTGTTATGTTTGTGGTGTTGTGCTTTGTGCTCTTCTTTTGCTACGCCGATCTCGAACCTGGGCGTGCCCGACTGCGGGCGACAGCCTCCTCAGATTTGGTCCATGCCGTCGGCGCGAGCCCCTAGCTTAAGATACCCTGGTGGTGGCAAATCAGTCGGGAAGCCAAGATTCGGGTCCAGACATGCCCGATGGGTTCTTAGCATCTGGCTTGTAGGGCTTACGGGTTCTCTCGGGCTTCAACTGCGCCTGAGTCACCCCTCAAAACAAGGTAGAGGTAGGAAGGCAGGCCTTGAGACCACTGCCCCCGGCAGCGACGGCCGCGGCGGTGGAGGCGTTGGAGAAAGCGAACTTCTGTTTGGGCGCTAAGGCCGCCTGTGAAAGGAACCCCAAGAATCGAAACAATCGAACATTAAGTCGAAGCGATTGGGGAATTGAACTGTGGCTTGGGAAGTCTCGGCAGCCTGTCTGCGCGAACCGCCGGCACTAACCGAGAGTAGGCACCTCAGGACCGCATGCGTGGCCGCCGTCCAGGCAGGCAGAATCGAAAGTCGAATGTCGATTGAGGTCTCCACCCATCCGGGACATTCTCTGCATTTAAAAGACACAGCTCCATGCTCCTGCAAGCAATGCTTGTTGTGGAAGTTGAGGTTCGATCTCTGAGGCACTTGAATGCAGATCCGCTGATGGAACGGCACATGGCCAGCACTTTCAGAAGAAGTGATAGCCGTTCATGAGTTCGAATTGCACACAAACAAGGGCAGTAGACTCTGGTGTGCTCCTGAACTGTGGTGCCGACCCAGCTGCCCCGAAAACGTCGGGCCCGGCTGGTTTGGGAGACCTGGAGGGAACCCTCGCACAGCTAATAGGCACAGCTCCCAGTGGCCAGCTCTTGTCCAGATTTGTCCAATCAGGCTGCGATACTTCACTTCCGATTCACTTCGGTCATTTTTGACGCTCGTCTTGGCCTTACAGCCTTTCAGCGGTGTCTAAGCGAGTTGCTTTGACTGCAGCGCTTGCAGGCAAGCACTCGAAGGCCAGTTCTTGGGGGCATCGACCCTCCAAACCACGCGCAGCTCGGAATTAAAATGGAACATTGCGCAGCACATGCAAGCTACAGGTGACAGGTCAGCTTCAGAACACGGAGCAAAGGAGACCTGATTCCATCGCGGGCGTGTTCTGACGCGCGGAGCACGGGACCCTGACAGGCTGAGGTAAATTGAGAGCACTGTGATTCTGATACCGATGCATATGTCGAGCCTCAGCCCATCAATCAGCTGCAAATTCCAAAACTGGCGGTTCCCCACAGGGGGCTTGCATTGGTGAAGCTGCGCAAATGAATATCATGCGATACTTCTGTGTTTGCAGCTTCAAAGTGCGCGTTTCACGAACAGAGGAGGAGCAGACCAAGCAGGCTCCCTATGAGTCCCCGACATCAGAGTACCAAAATCAGTCAACGATAATCAAATCATACTGTGACGGCTGCGTCGCGGCGCAGGGTCCGAAAAGGTGTGGCATGGCGTGGCCTTCCAAGTGGGATACTGTGGGCACTCAGCCAGTGCCCCAGAACAGCACCCTCATTGGCGTCCGGGCGGGCAGGTGTTCTGTCCGTTAGGCTGCCCGTTGCAAATGTAGCAGGCTGGGGCCAGAACACTGCTTTTGAATCTGAGCTTGGAGTTTCATGATGTTTCGTGATGTTTCGTGATGTTTCGTGATTGTCTGCTGAATGCCACTACGACGTTGTCCTGGCTCGTCCAGAGCCGGATGGAGTCAGGTCTGGCCCCAATACAAGTGAGTCTGACTACTTCGGCAACAGTATATGAAGCACCAGGAGCAATGAGAACCAGTCAGAGCAGAGTGCAGCTGACTTTCTTCTGCCACACCACCAAGAGTGATGGGCTTCTTTTGGGGGAGTGCCTGCCCATCTTCAAGGTGTACCACGATGAATCGAAATTCTTCAAGACATGTTCCCAGGATCCCAGGGGCACTCTCCCAAGAAAAAAGGGCAAGACATGTGCGGATCACCCAAGGACCAGACGTGGGAAGGTGCATGCAGTCGTTCTGTATGCTTCCCTTATCTTTCCTTCGCCAGGCCCATCGGGGGAGACCGCAAGCTGCACACGTGCTGGTTTAAGCCATCTCAAGAATCCCACTTTAGAGCATTCGACCCGACTGGGCCAGTGTCTGGATGTCCAGGCAAATTAAACTTCCATGCAGCAGCTCAAGCAGCTCATGCACATCTGTGAGATAGTGTGGAGGAACTTGTGCATGGAAGCGGAAGATCAGTTTGTACATGGATTATCATGGACTCATACCTCAGTCACTGGGGAGCTGTTCCATTGAATTTGCCATGCGCCACCAACAGCCAAACCTGGTGATTCAAGCGCCTCGCACTCAGACACCATGACCTGTCGAGGGCTGTTGCACACGCAGGCGGGCCATGCTCATGCGCACTGTTTCGCTTCACACCATGTGCGCAGCGCAGGGAGCCAAAATGCATGATGATTCCCTGTGGTCTCAGGCACAGCTGCCGCACAGCCCTCGGCCCTGCCTCATCTCAAGCGCCCGGAGCCGGCAATGGCAACAGCTGAGCGGGTGCCGCAATGGAGATGGGCTCCTGAGAGACTTGCTCCTGGCATGCCGAAAGACTCTTGATGATTTTTGATGCTCTCTGTCGTTTGGAACAACGGCTTGCCGGATTTTGCTGGTCCTGTATCCACGGAGGAGGGTTCCCTGCAGGGTCCGAGCAGGCACCGCTTCTTGAGAAGTCGGAGTATGAAATTTGAAAGAGCGCCTTGAGTGGAGGCTTCTTGAGCCGCGTGATGAGCCTTAGTAAGCAATAGCTCTCATTCGCTAATCCAAGCCCAGATGTCTCAGTCCTGTCCAGTCATTCCTCACCTACTTACTTAGAGCGGTGCAACGCTTCGATGCGAGATATGTTGTCAGCATATCCATCTGTTTTTGAAAATGACTGCAAAGCTGCAGCGAGAGCACAATCATCGGTCCGAAAACAGGGTCCCTAGTTGGGTAGAATTTCCGCCTCGTCAGGTGGTTTTGCAGGTTCAGCAACCACACAACGGAGCCAAAAATGGGGTACTTGGACCCCTGCAAATACAGGACTGCTTACAGTGTCAACTGCATCTCATTCACTGCTTGTTCTAGCAACTGCCGCAGGATTGATGAATGCCACATCAACACATAATGAACAACATAAAACACCACCAGCACTACAAGAATTTGCAGCACTTGCATAATCGTCAGATGCTACCATGCCCCCCAACAGGTAGCACCAAATTTTCAAGTTGTGATGCATGAAACAACGAAAATATGCATTTTCGGCATGTGATACCTTTCACACCACACAGCTTAAATAAGGACTTATAGAGGGTTTTGTACGACAATGCATCGCAAACAGTGGTGGATATGGTGTTGAAGAAGGTGAAAATAGAGATTCCAGCCACATCCGTGTCATATCGCATTCTTCTTTTTCTCTTTTGAATACATACGGTTCTGCCAAACCCGGTCAGGCCCGTGGACTCCTACCCCTATCTTTCGTGGACCCCATATGAGCATTTGGTCAACGGGCCTTTTCGGCTTCACACCCTTTAGGAGGCTTCCGGGCTGTGGGGTTCGGGCCATCGTATAGGAAAGCACCGCCCAGGCGAGGGGCGTTGGCATTACGCAGGGCACTGGGTCCCCCACATCGCGCAGTACCCGACTCGCCCAGGAAAGCTGTGCCTCAGTCAAGTCAGCCGTGTCCTTTCTACAAGATCACAAGGTTCCAGTGCTGCTTTAAGGGTAGTGAGTGGCTGCTCGAGGAAAACTGTTATGGGCCCCTGCAGACCAGACATGCCACAGTTAATAAAGAGATGCAGCCTTGCTCAATACATGTCGTGAAACCCTTGGAGACTGTGTTTCTGAGATTCTGTGTTGGGAACCATGGCCTCCACTGTGAACGCCTGTGAACCATAACCTCCTCCCCCCCTGAATTGGGAGGGCGCGTTCCCGAGAAAGGCACCCCAGTTGTGAAACATTGTGGTGGTTTGAGGACGTTTGAAATTCAGAAAGCACGCTTCCCAGGGTTGCTGTGGCAGGCTGTTTGCCGGTGCTGAGACCAGGGCAATATCCCAACCGAATCGTCCGCAGCGATTTCCCTGGCTGCAGAATGTTTTTTTTCATGCTGCTTGCTGACTCACGAGATCCGACGTAACAGCCAGCCCCTACGACTGCCTCTCTGGTGCCAGCTTGTCCTGCCTAAGCCGGTGAAATCAAAGTTTAGAACCACATGAAACTCAAGTTCAGGGAGCCCAAGTGCGCAATCATCCATGAGAGGCACATGTCATGGACTGAGCTGCCAGCCGCACTTTCATTCGCCTGCCTTACTGCATTGTCGTAGGCTTCCTCGATCTCCTCCATCCGTATCTGCAATTATATGTAGTACTGGACAAGCTGCTAGGTCCTAGGTGGATTTATAGTCATTTGTAAGGACCCCTGCCAGCATGCAAATCTGTGAGGGCTAGCCATCACAAGCAAGAGTGCATCGTGGCAAGTCCTGAATAGTCGGGATGACTACAGCCTGAAGGCCAAGAAGCCTCCACATCTCGAAAGAATGGCCACAACTGCAGCGCGTCGCGCTTTTGACTGTGCAAGCTCTGTACCTCTTCGCAGCAATCACCCGCGCGCTGCTCAAGCGGCGTGGGCTCCGGCGCTCCCCTGTTCGAGCTGCAATTTTTGGGCGGCAGATGGCAGATGAACAACGGCAGCAGCAGCAACAGCGGGCAGCAGCAACAGCAGCAAGAGAAACAGCAGAAGAGAGTAGAGAGGATCTTCTGAAGGCACCTTCCGGAACCCGCTCGTGGCATTCGTCTTCGTCTGCGTCCTCCTCAAAGCATTTCTCGGAGCTAGCGGCATCTAAGAAATCTGTCGGGCAATGCAAAACAATAGCAAAAATAAAGTTTTGATGGAAGCCCATTGGAGTCCCGATAGGCGTCCTTGTTAAGCTCATTCCATGGCTCGGGCAGCCGAAACCCGAGCTTGAGCATCCTTAGGCTTTCGAAAAGTATGGTCAGTATGGCGGGCGACAAGAATGCTGCAAGAACGAAAGAACTTGGCAATGAGTGCTGGTAAGAAGCCCGAGACGAAAGCAGGAGTTCCACTGATACTGTATTGGTCCTATCCAGCGGTCCTAGCTGGCCCCAGCTCCCTCATCTTCTTCCCAGCAAAATTTGGAAGCTGCAGACAGGATGCTGGCGATGCTGGCGTGTACGCAGCCCGCCTCGCATCAGTTGCGCCAGAGGAAGGAACGCTCCAAGTGTGCTATAGTTCTTCCTTGCGTCAGTCTACTGGAGCTCCGACTTGGACAAGTTACAGATTCTTACCGCTCAAGCTGGTCGAGCCGCTCGCATAAGTGCCTCAGCTTTTGCGAGCTTTGGCTAACGCCGAGTTGCGAATGAAGTCTGCAGGTTCACAGGTTGCAATGATGACCTGGCACATTCACAATCTCTGCAGCTTCCGTGACCTTCTCAACCACTCAGTCATCGGCATAGTAATCGCCAGAAGTTGGCCAATACCATCGGAGCCACGTATCCTTGCACTTGCCAGACATGCTTAGGCTTAGGGGAAGGCAACAGCTTGCAACCACCGTGCCGTATAAACGACCGACCCCAAGCAGTCCATCGGGAACTGAATCCAGCGCGGCGCGCTCGACCTCATCGGTGCTTGGGCGGCGCTGCCACAAACTCTTGAAGACTAATCAAGACTTCGCTTTCTTCATATCTCGGAAGGCTTGGGAACCGAGCCCTGCTGCCGGTTGCACGAAGCGCCGCCAGCGATGGTGACCCTTAAAGCATGGTGGAGCTATTGATCGCTCATGGGTCTGACAGAGTCCTGCTCGCATCATGATGCGACATGCGGTCTGGCAAGGATCTTCCATCTACGAGGGAGCGAATGATGGAAACTGGCTTGGGGTTTCTGATGGGTAGAGGCAAACTGCGCCAAACCATGCCTCGTCACTGTCACCCTCCAGGTTCTCACAAAGCTCGCCGAAGCCACCTGCAGAGGCACACAAGTGAAACCCAAAATTGACAGGCAAAGGACCAGCAGCGCACCAGCCTTTGCAGCCTTCCGTTAAGCCTTGGGCCGAGCTTACAAGCGGGTTATGGTGACGGTTATTGTAATTATGCTATTGTCACATTTGTCATTTGTCACAAATACATCGAACCACAGCACTTCAGTCCGGAGCAAAGCGCAGAAGCAGGAACACCTGCCCCACCCCCCCCACATGCCAGCACATCCGTGCCAAGAGGGCGAATGTGCTGAAGGCCCTGGGCATGTACTTCAAAGTCAACAAGGTGATTTCCCGGCTGTAGCAGAGCACGGGCAAAGGCGTGAGTCGTGGAAAGAGCCAAGAGAAGGGCGCCAAGGGCACGACCGTGGGCAAGGACAAGGGCAATGGCAATGTGAAGAAAGAAGTGTTCGCAGTGGGCACAGACTTGGTCTTTTTCAAAAGGCTAGAACACTTTTTTTCTCTGAAGCAGCTGCAGTTGATTTCTCTTATTTCGGATCACCCCAGGAGTGTCAGCTGCCGATGCGAAAGAAGTGTTGTTTGGCTTGAGAGTCCTTCCGCGTAGTTGATTTCCAGTTCATGTTCATGGCGTTGATATGTCAGTATATTTTCAGAGCCTGAGCTATACAGAACGTGCAAAGCGGTTCACGGCCATGCATCATTCTTCAAGTTTTCAATTTGTAGCTGGCTGAAGATCTGGGATCTTCTGCATGTGTACAAGCCCGACACTAATGCATGTTGCCCGCTCAAGTGTCTAGCGGTAGACTACCCTCCTGTGCGCCTGGACACAAAGAAACTCCTGTCAACCTTGCTGACTGCACCGTCGAGAGGTCAAGAACACTCAGGTTACATTTCGGGGGGGCAGGGGGTGGGTGCTGCCTCCCCTCTGCCGCGCCCCCCCCCCCCCTCCCCCGGCGAACTCTCTCCTCATGCACCACTAAGAGTCGGCTTTTCTCGTCTGTAACAAAAAAACAGCTTTTGACAATTGCAAGCAGCTTCATCATGGGGGCATGGACCCACTTGCCTTTGGCATCCCTGTTCACGTCGTGGGATGGAGGCGTAGCGGAAGTGTCCTGACTTGGTGGGCGTCCGAATCCATGAGACTCGGCCACAAAGACTGTAACTGGGAATTCGGGAAGCCCACTGGAAGCCCACACAAACACCGCACACCGGCAGGTCCAGCCTCGGCATCGAAGAAGGGCGTGTGCAAATTCACGGGAAGGGTACGGTGAGAGCCATTGAAATTCACCTCGCGAGAAGAAATTTGAAGAAAAGATCCCTTAAGTCCCATGTTGCAGCCTTGGCCCTACAGCAAAAACATAATCCAAGCAGCCGAAGACGCAAACTTCTGAATGCGGATGGTGGTGAAGTCCTGTGTTTATGGCCGTGGTGCTGTGGTGTGTGCAGCATGCTGTAGACCCTGAAAGTTGAAGAGCTTCTGATTCTGAGCCCCCAGGCGGTGTTGGGCACCTCCAAGCGGAAGAGCTCACAAAGCAGCCTTCGCCCATCACCCACAATGGAAGCCAGGAAGAATGACAGTGCAGGAGTAGAGCTGAGCAGAGCATCAATAAATATCAATAAATGCAGAAGGTCCCATGGACTCGCGGCCTTGGCAAGCGGAGTGGAATGCCGTAGTGCCTGAGGCAAAATGCTCTTCCGATTCCAAAAATCGTTCTGGGGCTCTCTTTGCGAGCGCGAAGCAAAATGACAAGTGGGGTTCAAAGATGTTCAAGTCTTGTCGCTACCCCATTCGTGCTTGTTGGCTCTTCTTAGTCTTAGCTGCCTAGGTCGTGAGAGCAGTGCCACGAGGTCTTCGCGCTTGTGCAGCTGTGCTTCGAAAGTAGCATCCCGCTATTGTGCACCTTCAGGAAAAGTCCTACGCGCTTGGTGAAAAGCACAAGAGGGGAGCACGGAGTCATGCAGCACTGATTTTGCCACCCCATTGCCACCCAGGGCCCCAGGGTTAACGTGTCCGGCATCCGAACATGCGCTTCAGAATCAGCTTCAAGGCCATGTTTCTGGCGTGACATGTTCGGCGTTAGTGTAAGGTGTAGCAGCTTTGGAAAAATCATGCTTTGAAGGTTATCTAACTACTTGGTCCACGGCTCGTATTCCGCCGTGGTACGGAAGACATACAAGTACAAAGCTCCATGTTGAAGACATGTGTGGGAATTCATAGTACTAGTGTTTTTGGTAGGGCGTCTAAACATAGGTGTTTTTCGATGGCTCCCCCTGCAGAAAGTGGCTTCTGTATTGGTTTTTACAGTACGGAATGCTGTTTTCAAACCCCCCACAACTACTTCAGAAATGCATGAGAAACACACTGAGCTGCAGTTGTTCGACGTCGTCGTTGACACTCCTTTTTGCTCTCAGCGCTTGCGGCGCTGATTCAGAGAAGCTGATCCAAAGCTTCCAGGAATGCTTTGGGTGTGCACGTTCCCACCGAAGCATGCCAACTCCACATGAACAGCTGCTGTTTCACAGCAGGGTTCAAGTCAATGCCCATTCTTGGAGATCTTTGTGGAAATCTTTGGCGGCAGGAAGTTGTTCAAACTCTGCCACGTTCTGTCTAGCACTTGTGTGCCTACAACAGAAGACAGCACAACAAGATCCCGGGTGCACACTCTTGCAAATGGCGAGTGGCCGAGTGATGCTCCAGGACATGCTGCCTGCCAGTTGAGAATGCCGTCCGCGTACACTGCACTGCGATCTTTGTTGCGGATCTTCTGCAGAAGCTGGCTGGGGTCGATCAGCTGCCGTGTTTCCGTGACCGGTCGTGTGCCAACACGCATGGCCTCTTTCTTGAGCTCCCAGTGTCGCGATTTCCCCCCCCCCCCCCCCCCCCCGCACCCCGAAATCCTGCAAAAGTGCTTTCCGACCCACGGCGGAATACGAGCCGTGGGCCAACTACTTTGTGTTTCTTTAGGGAGTTTAGGGTTTTGAGCTTTAACTGCTGATTGTGTTTTGGGGCAGGCATTATTAAGTCTTGTTCCAGAAACGCAAAACATCCTTGTGCAGTATGTGACGCGGAGAGGCGAAGTCGCCGTATGTACGCTGGGCATGTTCGCCAAAGGCATGAACGCTTGGGACTGCGTGTATTGTTCCAGAAACATCAAACATCCTTGAGCAGTATGTGGTGCAGAGAAGCAAAAAACGCCGTCAGTACCATCGTTTCGGGCTTTCACTGCTGGTTGGGTTTGCGGCAGGTACTGGGTAAGTCTTGTTCCAGACATGTCAAACATTCTTGCGCAGTAATGCAGAGAAGCGAAAACGTTGCAAATACCAGTGTGTTGGGCATGTTCGCCAGCGGCATGAATGCGTGGCAACTGCGAGCGGCAGCGCAAATTCTAATTTCTCGCAGACTCTCAAGACGCCGAGGGAGCCAATGCCGCATAAACCAAAAATACTGCAAATACCAGTGTTTTGGGACTCCTTGAGCACTATGTGGTGCAGAGAAACTGTACATGCCAATGTTGTGGGCAAGGTCGTCATATGAATGAATGTTATAGTAGTAACACCCCCGCCCACATCCGCCCACCCACCCCACCACCCCTCCCCCACCCCTCAAACGAATCAAAACAGAAGTAACCAGCAGGAAAACAAAGGAAACGACCAGGCAAACTAAAGCCCCGTTACCCACTGCTCACCCTGGTGCGACTCTTGACAAGAAGAACCCGTTGGTTTGTGACGCCTGTCCGTTGCCGTGTCCAGGCTGTAATGGGACCTTGAGCCACGGTGTCTGTGATGCAGGCAGCAGCACACTCAACAATCTTCGCCCTCTTCGCCAATCACATCACGTCAGCAGCAGCTGCTGGGGTGCACACCCATTCAAGCCCAGCACATAGGCAGCATGGACAAAGGGAAACCTAGGTAGTCAGATGATGATCCGCAGGCAGTGACCGCGAAACACCTATCATTATCGCAATGATTTGATTTCGAACTGCCACAACAACTGCAGCATGCCGAGCATCCACCAAACTACATGTTAAGGTGGGAATACCGGCGCTTTTCTTGTTCAGAAGACTTGCAGCAGCTGCGGCAGCTAGCAGAATTGCAAGGGACTCGCCTATACAAGCCATGCTGGCACGATTCTTCTGACTCGCACGACTTGACATCGGGCCCGAGGTACAGTGGAAGATTCACTCTTGGCCCAGGGCTTGGTCGCCTGGAGCAGTTCCAGAATCGCGGCTCGAAGCTCTGCCACCTCGGCCAAGGCAAAGCTTGGCATCTTGTGCTTGTTTTGAAGCATCATTCTTCGGAAGAACTTCTAAAGGGTCACTTTAAAGAGATCAAGCGCTTCAGCTTGGCAGCTTAGCACTCAAAGTTTTCGCGACTGGGACACGTTGGTGGATTTGCAGCGACTCCACCATACGCGGTTGTCACTGAAACATATGATTCACATGTGACCCCGTCTGGAAGGGGTCAATTAACACTGGCTACAACCAACCATACGAGACGTGCCGATCTGACCGTGCTGTGACCCTGGACAGCCTGCGAACCGAGCGGACTTTTTTTAAACAGAGATGGCTCAATTTCCGCTGTGGTGGTCGTTCCCACATCGCAAGAGAGGCTTCACAAATCTTCACAAACCCCGCGAAGCGGGGAGAAGGTGTGTACACGACCGAGGCCGCAGTGGCCAAGCAGGAAACCTTACGTGACATTAACAAGAGAGCTTACGAAGCTAAAGAGCTCCGCGAAGAACCGGCGGGGAACGCCATCTCATCCATCCTGCCAATCGACATGTGCGCGACTATAGGTCTGAAGGGTGCGACAACTGCTTGAAAACATGCGCAACACGTGTCCTGAAGAAAAATCTTTGCTGATGTTGGACACGTTCGTGTTTCTTCGTGTTGTGTTTACCCCCACTGCAGCCGCCACCAACTATGTACAGGGGGGGAGTCTGTTTTCCAATATGCTGTCAGTACATGCAGCGTAGACACTTTAGCGCGTGCACTAATTCTTAACCTTAACCATGGATCAACATCTTGAACCAAACGTTTGTTCAAATTTCATTAAGTTTGCAGTGATAGAACGAGAAACTTTTCGTCCGTGAAACGAAAAAGGTGAGCATAAAAATGCTGCTTTTCCTACCTCCAAAGCTTCGCGGTCTAGTACAATGCTTTACGACTTTATGGCCGTGATATTTGTCGCCTATCATCCACCCAGAACTTGTAAAATGTGGGATCAGATCGCAAGTCTGAAGTATTTCCAGTAATTAGGCCGACAGTCTGCTTGTCAACAGGCAAAGGTCAGCTGCATCTCAGCAGCACGAGGCAGAGGAGTGCACATGGCAGTGAGAGGGTCATGGCCATGCTTGTTGGAGGTTCAAGCTGCGCAAAAACAGTGTGTCGCGTTGGCGCGTTCCACTCACGCCAACCTACAAAGATTTGGTGCGCTGCTATGATGGCTAGCTCGCTTTGAAACCCGCCCATGCAAAGAAGACCTTGACAATGCAATGTATGCATGACACCGTTTTGCAATGGGGGAGGTCAACGCAAGCTAACTAGGGGTTTGGAACCAGGAAAAAGGTGGAGCGCATTGGATTTTACCTGCCCCGGTGGCAGCCTGAGCCTTCTCTCAATCTTTGGCTGCTAGGTTGGCACATACACCCCTGTGCCAACCTTGCTGTCTGCAAGCTAAATTACTAAATGGGAACAGGACTTGGAGACAATAGTGGACCTGCCCCAAGCAAAGCGCTGGAATGAGCATAGAGCAACTTCTATTTGACTAAGGATAGTTTTGTCGAGGCTGGCCCAGACCAGCAACAGAATTCCTTGCAAAGTCCAGATGGCGATACGGCCGGGGAAAAACCTTGACGATTTGACGGTGTATTGAGGGGGGTGAGGGGGGATGAGGGGGTGGGCCTGAGACGAAGGACTTGGATGAGCTGCCAAATTGGGAGTACACAAGCGAATGCTGAAGTCCTTCTCGAAGAAGACTTGGTGTAGCCTCTGCGAGGCTTGGAGCAGTTGATCTCCAGGAATCACAAACGTGACGTTGACGTTCGAGGCTCCATGGGAGACCATCTCCAACTTAGGCAGTCAGATGGGTCAGATGGGGGCCCATTGGGGCCCATTGGGGTCATTGGGGCCCTGCTGCCCTGCTGCGCAGCCGCCTAGTTTGGGTCCGTTTGGGTGTCTAGCCACAAGGCAGCCAAGCCACGCTGATTCCCATCTCCTGCAGAAAGCTTCCATCGCTCCCCGCGCAATTTCACGAAGCTCACGGAAACAGCAAAAGAACATCACGGAAACATCACAAACCACATGCACAGAAGATCACAGAAGCTAAGGGAAGCCAAAGTCTCCTCGAAGGCTGCGCAGGACTCTTTGAGCACACTGACAGAGTCCTCTTTGTGCGTGATGAGCGTCAGCATGGACATGTTGTGAAGCACGGAAACCTGACCCACTCACTCTTCGTTCACAGATATGTAAAAAGCTCAGCTCTAGCTCTAATCCTTCCGCGTGTCTCTCTGTTCTGCCGGGCATGGGGTGATCCTCCCCGCTCTCTTCTTCTTCTTCTTGTTTTTCTTCTTCTTCTTCTTCTTCTTCTTCTTCTTCTCCTCTTCTACGGGGCATGACGGGCGCGAACGCCCTCCGCGCACAAGGGGCCAGATCCGCTCGCAGTCCGTGTGAGAATTCCCGCAGGCGTAGTTAGCGGATTTAGTCGACTATCGGAGCACGGTTTTCCCCTTTCCCCCTTTCCCCTCCTGGGACCCCTCCGCGCGCGAGCACGCCCTCTCTCTCTCACTCACTCTCTCTCTCTCTCTCTTTCTCTCTGGGTGCTAGTGAAATCAGGCTTATACACCCTTAAGCCTGAGATCAAATGAGAAGCTCTCGTGCACAGCCGCGGCACTTTCGAATCTTGAGCTAGGAGCAGGTGAGAACTCAACAGGAAGAATGAAAGATCCATCCTGCCTTCGCCACTTCCCTGAGCTCCGTCGAAATTGCGCCAAGGTCAACATGCTTGTAGCCTGCAGCAGGGCGTAGCCCTTGAGCAAACCCTCAAGCATTCACATTGGCTCAGGTCATGCCCTGGCCGCTGAGAACTTCCGCTGAGGGCAATGGCCTTCATCCAGTGTGAGTGACACGGTCACTTCTGAGGTGGCGATGACATCCACGGACGCGGCAAACTTGTTAAAGACTTGGAAGACATGCGCCAGGAAGCCATGCTGTCCAAGCATTCGACCTTTGGCACTGATGCAACTTGCCATTTCCTGCTTCACCCTCTTTCATGTCAGAGAGGTATGCCGACTCGGACACGTGTTGCACGTGTTGCATGTGTTGCACCACTGAGGGTCCAGCTGCTTTTGATCACCTGCCAGTGCAGGCATCAACAATCTGAAAACGCCCTGAATGTCACAGCATGGGCCTTGCCGGTCCCTGCCAATAGCCCCTGGAAATCCCTGGAAATCCAGCTGGAATATGAAAGCAAGTGAAAGCAAGGAGCTATCATGGTGATGTTCTTCTTGCTGCTGATAGCCGCGACTCGACCCTCTCGGGTGTCGTTGCCACCCAGCTCTGGCACAATCCGAGTGCCTGGTCAACAAACAGGCCACGGCCCCTCGATTACTGGTTTTGGAATGAGTGCCACGGCCTGGGAGATCTGGAGCCAGGGAGTTCTTGACACTCATCGGAACGCCAGCACTCCAGGCGGGCAGCACTGCCGCCGGGTGAACGACCTTGGAGCCGAAAGTTGACAGCTCCGCCGCCTCCTCAAAGGTGAGGACGTGAACCTGAAAACAACAAAAGAAACAGCCCCGGACCGCAGCCTCCCCAGCCTTTCTTGCATCTTAAGCAGAATGTGTGTAAAACTTACAAGATGTAGCTTAAGTAATGGTTGTAGCATGTCGTAGCGCTTCTGTTTCTGCGATGTCCATGGCCGAGCCACTGGCTTTGCTGCCGCGATCACTCGTGGGTCAGTGGTCTGCACACCGCTGACGTCCTTCCAGATCTGCACTTCCGAGGCCTTCACCGCCGCGCCGATGACAGTGGCGGTGAGGTCGGAGCCGTCCCGGCCCAAGGTCGTGATGACGCCTCGAGCGTCCTCCAAGACACGAAGAACTATAGCAGCTATAGCGCACTTCAACGAGAACGAGATGAAGCGAACAAAGTTGCTAAGTTGCTCAGGAATTGTGAGGGAATCCCAGGCGCCTTGGCAATGTAGCCGGTAACAATGGGCACGAAGGAATAGTTGGTCTTCAGCGGGCCCAAGTGATGCTTGATGGCCTCAGACTCTCAGAGAACTCGCTGCTACTCGCTGCTTGTCAATTCAGCGGGCTGTGTTGCGTTATGCTGTGTTAAATTGAAGACACATTGAAGACAAGTCTTACGCCCTCTGAAGGGCCGCCGAAACCTAAACCCCCACCATACTGGGGCCAGGTGACCTTGTAAGACTCTTCGAGGATCTCCACAGAGGAGAAAGCCGAGTCTGCACTACCAGAGCCACTGGTTGTCTTCATGCCCACCTGCCAGGCATCCAGGGCGCGGGCCTCCGGCTCCTGGTCGCGGAGTGGGCCAAGTGGGGCAATGCTTCGAATTTGGAGGAGTGCAGAAAATCACTCGGCTTGAACATGCCATGTGAAGCTGCCCCCCCCCCTCCCTCCCCAAAATCAGGATGTGCAAAACCTACAAGGCTGCAATGCGTGCTCAGCCTCCGGCTGCTCTTTTTGTCCTTCCCGACCCCCTTCATATCCTTCCCGCCCTTCCGCCCTCTCTCCCCCGCTCTTCGGTCTTCTTTCTTTGGACCTCGGGCCATAGGTGTCGTAGGTGTCTGGGTAGCATAAAGAAAGCTGCCTGGAATGGGCACCCCACGTAGGACCAGGGGGCATTCAAGCCTGATCAGCAGCAATGCTCACCACCCCCCACTTACCCGACCCGCACCCACCTCCCCCCACCTTTTGCCCCACTTCCCCTCCTTTACCGCTCGGGGTTTCTTGTTTTACCACTCCCACATGTGGGGTGCCCGGTCTATACATGAGCCTGCGTGTTCAATCATGTTACGGTACAACCTACCCAACCTCAACCGCCCTTCCAACTGCTCCATCGCCACCGCCCCATCCCGCCCTCTCAGCACCCCCCTTTCCTCAAAGAGGGATCTTTAACCAAGCATGGACACCAGACCCCCCTCATTGACGGTCGACAGCATTAGTATGTATGTATGCATGTATGTATGTATGTACGTACGTATGTATGTATGTATGTGTGT